TGTTCTTTTCATGCAAATCATGCCTCATTTAAAACTGTTTGCACTTCTTAAGAACGACAAAATCTAAAGTAAAAGAAGAAACGTCTGTACTTCTAAGTCAGATTTTGCTCAATTTAAGCTTCACCCGATTTTTGTAACAAGTGTAGTTTTCTCACATCCATATTTGTTGTTGTCACCAACAGCAGATACACCACCAGCCTTTGATCCCACCGTAATTTCTTCATACGAAACAATTCCGGATGCGTATTCCTATTTAATGTCACAACTACCGACACTGTTTTTAGTTTGCGAGGGTTCTGCTACTTTGCGATGTCCCTCTTCGAAGCCTTATTCCTACAGTCGACTCGCCGCAAGCAATCTTGATTGCTGACGCCTGCAATGCTAATTTGAGACTGTATAAGCTTGTTTCTCTTGGACGACTATGACATCGAAATGCTTAATAAGCTTATACACCTTTGTGTTTTACTAATGTGCTCAGAGTCAAGGTTGAAAGACTGTTGCGAACGACACTGTATTCAACGATATTTATCAACATCAAACTTTATAACGATTTTAACTGTAAGAGTCACTAGTCACTTATCTACTACCCTTTGTAATGCCACTGCCCTTACAACAAATAGTAACAAGAAAAAACAGACCAAAAAGTCTGCCAAATGGGCACGATATGAGACACAGGATGGAATAGTGCCAAACAAAAATCAGTCAAAGTAAAAAATTGGACCAAAGGCTGCTACATTGGAATTTCAACGGTAGAGGAGAACCGACGCTTGAAAATGAGACTGCTTGATTCAGTCCTAGTTTGAACTAAAGTGAACTAATCCCGAGTCCTTCAAATTACTGCTTATACATAGCGTCTTGACGGATTGGCCTGCCCTCTACCCTCCCGGGACTTTCCTCCAAGGGTAGATAGTAGCCGTCTCTAGCAGTTTGATATTGCATTTAGCGTACTGTCACGAAACTCCCAAAGGAGGCGGATAGATCACGCTTTGGCTAAGTGAACATTTGTTTTCAGGACCTTAACTTGAAAAGGAATTACTAGATATAATATACAGCAAAATATACAAAAAAATACAGTATACAACAAAACCAAATAATTACAATTAAATAACATTATAAATAAAACAAGTAGTAAAATAATTACAATCTAAAGTTAATACCAAATGTAGTCGCTCTTCCTTTTCAACTTACAATGAGTAGATTCCTCAAATCTATGTTCTACCAGACTTTTTTTCTTTTCTTGTCTACTGTAAGTTAGTTACTCCCTTCCTTACAGTAATGTAATTCTGTTTTTATTTAGGGTAGTTAAGTCCAAAGCTGCTCCTTTCTTTGTTCTCTTAGTCCTTATTTTATACGGTTTTGGAATCTTTTTCGGCGATTTCTCCCCGCGTTAGGAATTAATAGAAGTATCAGGTTAGCATCTTTTAATCAGCAAGTATTAAATCAACGAATAACATCCATTTTCGACGAAGTAATGTTCAGAGAA